TTAAAATTCAAAAATTAATAATTTTAAAATTTACATTTCACAATTTTAGTAAATAGATAGATATAAAAATAATTATTTATCCATATTAATTTTGAATATCCGGCATAAAATAATTATTTAGTATAAATTATTTTAAATATAAGGTAACTCTTAATGCATACATTATTTATGTACATTTTTCATTCACATATTCCTATTGCCATTTATATTACAAACAATGTGTATTATTTAGTTATTCTTGTCATGATTTTTTTTTAGCTGTATTGATTCTTTTAAATTTTCGTAACAATGTTCTAGTAATCTAATTTAAAGTTTAATATTGATTTTAAATAAGGTTTATTTAATATTAATTTGTCAATTATTCAAGCTGACTAAATTATCCAATAATTATGAAATATATAATTGTAATTATTATTATTTTGTTAAATTTTATAATGTAATTGTAATAATTTATGACATAGTATTTTACAATTATAATATTTTAAGTATAATTTTAATGCATATTATATCCACAACCTTAAAATATTGTTAAACATTTCCATTGTGTTCTATTATCTTTCCWTAATTTAAATTATTTACCATGCTTAGTTACTTTCAACCTTAATGTATCTATATTTGCTCAACATAGGGCTTAGTTAAAATATTAACTTAAATTAATATACATAAAATATTTTGTAACTCAGTCCTTAAATTATGTTCAGTATGAGACTATTATCTGTTTTATAAATAATTATAATGCAATACCTACACAATTTAATGACAGCAGATAAAAATATAAAATATGTTATTTTAATTTAGTTTTTATAATACTATTGTATTAAATTATTAAGGATTTTAATAATTTGTCAATGTTTTTGTATGTACCCTAATTTTGATTGAAATAGACTAACCATTATTTCAATTATGTTATAATAGTTAAGTACTTAAGTAGTATGAATTTTTTTTTAATAATTTATATAAATATTATATTTACCTCTTATTACTAATATATTATTCCTATACAGTATACGTGTATTTTATCTTGTTTATTCCTAGATGTATATATCACAGTACTGCTAGTACTATTGTGTGATTGTCTATTGTTCGCTAAAGTATACCCATATTATTTGGAAAGACAATTTACAACTTGTACACCATAATTACAATAAGCAAATTGGATAGTTGCTTGCTAACAATTATTCTTGAATTTACCGRTTTACCAGGTGAAACAGCAGAAGAGTTAACAAATTATGTTTGGACATTATTAAAAACTTGGAAAATTGATAAAAAAAAGTTATTGCCCTATCTGCGGATAATACTTATACCAATTTTGGTGGTATTCTGAGGCGGGGAAAAAATAATCTTTTTTATATACTTAAAAATAATTTTGGTCACAACTTAATAGGTATTGGATGTTCAGTGCATATATTAAATAATGCTATTCAAACAGCATCTGAGACACTTTACCTATTGATTTGCAAAATATCATATAAATACAAATACTCTGTTTTTGTTTATTTGTTAATATAGTAGGTATATAAAAAAGTGTTAGGCCATTCTAAGACATGTTGGCTTTCTCTTCACCCAGCACTTAATAGATTAATTGAAATGTTTGATGGTCTCAAATCATATTTTTTATCTATAGATAAATGTCCAACAGTAATTAAATTATTTTTTGAAAMTCCTATATCTTTACTAGTTGCAACATTTTTAAGTTTACAAAGTGAATGGTTTTCATATCAGTTATTGAAGTAAAAAATACAAGTTGATTCATTAATAGAAAAACTTAAAGTCAGAAAAGAAGCAAATTTTATTACTTCAAAAGAGAAACTTTTGCTGGATGAATTAAGAGAATATGGACTAATTACTGAAAATATATATTATAAGTATAAGAATGATTTTTATTCTACTAGCATAGAATACATAACAGAATGGTCCTAMCCAACTTTTGACAAATTTAATGGGATATCTTGGCTTACTCTTAAAAATATAGAAAGCAATAAATTTTAGTTGAGAAAATATTTTAAAAAGTGTTGAACTCGTAAAATCTATTTTACCAGAAATTATTAATGTTATTGACGAATCACAGTTATTTGATGAAATAACTCTACTCAAAAGTAATTAAAATAATGTTACTATAGAAAATAAGTCTTTGGAAGAAGTTTGGGTGGAAATTTTCAAAGTCAGTTCTGAGTGTTCTAATATTGATTTAAAAAATCTAAAAAGGATTGTTGAGTTCCTGCTTGACCTGCTTTGTATACCTGGAACTAATGCATCAGTAGAAAGAATTTTTTCTCAAATGAATTGTTTATGGACTGATCAAAAAAATCGTCTAAACATAGCGACAGTTAAAGCTATGCTTACCTACTRTAAAGATGTTTTTCAAAGGAAATTGTGCTGAGTTTCATGAATTATTATCTAATAATGAAAATTTATTGAAACAGATTCATTCATCTCAAAAATATGAAGGAAATATAGTGACATAAGATAAAACTATTAAAAAAATTCTGAATTATAACTAAGTACATCAGTTTTTAAATTTATATTTTTCAATAAAAGTATATATTGTTTTTTTTTCTTTACAATGTTTTGCATGTGAATATTTAAGTTTTAAAGACTGAGGTAAAGGCTTACTGTTAAGTTGTAAAATTATATTTTAATTGTTTTCCTAAGTATATTGTTATTTATTACTAAAATATTAAGAAAGTTCCTTAACTCTTGAGTCTTAACTAAAACTCAATAATTTACCAAATAAAATATTTGTGATCATTTTAATCTTTAAATTATCTGTATATGATTCTAATTCTAATTTTATTATTAATAATGTTATAAAAATARAATTTGTATGTTTATTTAAATAAATAATAAGAATTAATTATTTGAATAATGAATATTATAAATTGTTGAACGTTATTTTATTATTTTTATTTAACTAGTTACTTTTTCTTACATTGTGAAATGTTTTATGCCATATTTTTATATGGTTTCTTAAGAAACAATTTTTAACACAATAAACTGTATAAAACTTATCAGGCTATAAAATACTGGGATGGTAGGTACCCAATGGCCAACGTTTCAATATCTCCCCTGAACCGTAATTTAATTGTTTATAGTTTTGTCCCGTATTTTTTATTTTGAAATCTGGCATCCCTACTCAAGAAGCCATTAGCCAGACTCCAGCATTATAGTTATATTACTTATATTCATTAGTTCATTACTATTACTATTCACTCGATAAATGTTATTTACCTATACGAAAAGAAGAAGGCTGTAGGCATTCGGCAAACAGCCTGCATATAAGTAGGCGGCAATTGCCCGGAGGTGTAAAATTTCTTTAAACCTGACCCTGACCAACAGCTTTTAAATAGTATAGGTATACTAGCCACTAGGACCAGGTAACTGCAATCTACATTCTACCTAATAATTAATATATGACTAAAATATAACATAATATAATATTATATTGCCAATTTATTTTCGTTCATTATAAATTCATAAATTATATTAATATATATATAGTAGGTATACCTATTACCTACACCGGATGGCAGCTATACCTATTTATATATAGTTTGGAATAAATACGATCTTGTGGGCCGTTATATACCTAGGAGGCTAGGAATAAAAAGAATTTCCTCAAAAACCGATATACAACGCACGAAAGTAAAGCCTCAAAACAAGAACAACAGATACCACAGAAATTGTGTATCAGAACTGTATAATATTTTATACTTCAGAGATCAGAGTTTACTGTTTAKTCCATAGGAACTGATGAAGTTGAGTTTTATTACCAATGGAAAACTAATATGTTTTAAATAAAGCTTACGTGTTACTTTTTAAACAATAGCAAATTTGCAATTTACCGATGGGTTGTTTTAAAATTATACTAATATTCCATATTATTTTATCATAATTATATTAGTTTATTATAGATGATATCAGATACACTGGTAGTAGCATGTATTACCTATTAACTATATAAATATAATAAATGAATAAACAATAAATTATTAATAGGTGGTGGTGCCATAGTGGTTACCACCAAGGTACCAACGCATCAATGGTAAACGACAAACGTTCAAGTGTAAATCGTGTAATACAATTACTATTGTTTATAAGTAATTTATAGGTAGGTAACAATAAAACATAATATTTTGGAGTATTTCGATTTTCCACACTAACTGCAGCTTGTATAAGCCTGTAGCTTGTATAAGCCAGCAGCTTGTATCAACTCTAGTCTCTAGTTGATATTTATTATTACAATTTTTTTTTTTTTGGATCAAAATTGTTTTTTTATTAATTAGTCATTTATCTATTTGTATGTAATGTCGTTAGAAAAAAATTTTGAAAAAAACCTATACACAGTACATACCTGTCCACCTATTATTTTATATCACTACCAGGGACGGATTGGGCCATAGGGAAATCGGGAAATCCCGATGGGCCGCRTGCTAACTAGTTGATAGGGCCGCTGCGAGCGCTACCAAACTACGGCTGYAACCCGTCGCAAATTACATTTTAAAATTTATAGATTTTTATAAATACGATTTTAAATTTTATTCATATCAATTATTGCAAACTAAAAAGCAATAAGTCAATAACCAAAATATGAATAATTAATATTACCAAAGTCTATAACGCATAATATAACAGGATAAATTTAACAAAAACTGAATAATAATTTAAAGTTATAGCAATAATTCTAATCAAAAATAAAACAATCTCCGTGAACAGTAAATCTATAAATAATCTGATATTCCGTCTTCGTGTTGTCGCTTGTCGGCGGGTGACGACGACGAATTTTAACAATGCAAGTCGGCATGGAGCTGTAGTCTGAACAATAAAAATATTTTTATTTTAAATTAAGATTTTTTATAATATWGTAGTAAGTAGTATCGAATTGATATAATTATAAATATACATATTATTATTAGTTTACCATCTAAACATGGGGCCGCTAAAAAGTTATTATCCCGGACCGGTCCAAAGTTCAAATCCGTCCCTGATCACTACTATGTTTTATTATTTGTAATATGATAATGATATTACTCAAATTTAGTGATTTTACGCTAAAACCTTATAATAATGTATATCATGTTAAAAAGCTAAAAAAAAATGTATATCATAGTATTATAATATTAAACTTGACATTTTTTATACAATTAAATATTAATATCATAGAATAGCCCACACAGCATTTGTAAGATGATTATATTTTAAAAACATTTTATGATTGTATTATCAAAAATATTTTGAAGTAGGTAAATAGAATATTATGGAAATATGCTTAACAATGTACATGATCGGAGTATCGGACGAGATGGTGCATGATCTAAAAAAATCATAGACCTTAATACCTTATACTATTATTCTATTCTGTGCTTATACTCTTAAGCTATTCTCTTAAGTATAAAGTCTATGGAAAAAATTCGTCATAATAAATAATAATTCTATCATAGAGTACAATATTATTGCTATTTTTTACGCCGGGCACGCGGTAGACACGCGCCAGATAATATCGTGCACCTGCAATATCGCAGCCACTGCGGTCACACTGCGCGTTTGACCCGAGACCGGTTTGTGTCGGAACCCGGGGCGGCGACGTTGTCCATTCGTTGTTTTCCGTGTCGGGCCACAATGCCGCCGCCGCCGCCGCGTCGTCGTGTGGTGCCGCTGCCGAAGTGCCGAACAGCAGTGCAGAGGTTCAGACAGTACAGTGCTGTWACTCTGTTAGTGTTCGGCGTCGATCGTAGCTGCGGTCGCGTCCTAAACCGGATGCCGGAAAGAACAAAAAAATCAATTTAAAAGTCGTCAGTGGTTGTTCTCCTTCGGTGGGTTGCCGTAGCAATTGCGTCCCGATTTATTCGCCCGGCCCCACGAAAACGTGTCGACAACCACATTAATCCTGCGACACATTGTCGACGCGTATTTTCCTCCCGTACGGGTTCACTCGGATTCTTAGCGTTCGCGTTCGGTAGTATTACCACGGGGGCCGTCGCCGGAATGTGCCGCGCTGAGTGAGATATTACCGTGTTGCGCGATTATGTTGTGGAAACCATCCAGCGCGTGCAGTTCTCGTCGATGTGCAGCAAACACTTACGACGGATTACTATCGTGAAAACAGTTACATTCTATAAAATTGTCTGTAAGTGTGATCGATACTAAAGTTATAATATAGTCACCTCTACGGGCTCTATGATAYAATTGTAGATATACCTAATACTTAATAGCGAAATTGATTTGTAATCAAAGTTAGTTGGTCTGACATACAAGATTGAATTACCTACTTATTACCTAGATACCTACTTTAGTATTGCTAATACCGGRCGCCGGGTTACATAGGTAAATATAGCTACTAAACATTTAATGAATCAATAGTGATCTATAATATGCTAATTGTCCCTTATACGAATATACGATACATGATTTAGTGGTCCATAATGGATCCATTAAATTAATCAATTTTTTATGCAAGTCAGCGCTTTAGTGTTAAATGATTTTATTGTTACCTATTACATAGATTCTCAGTGGTTTTAAAGATATTGGTTTAAATAACGTTAAACATAATATAGGTATTTAACGATCTAGGCGTAGTATATTACGTGTATTTCATATCTTTAGAGGACGAAGAATGTTTTGGTGATCTATTAAGATACCGTTCATTGCGTGGTGCCTTTCTAAATCTTTTGTCCTATCTTAGTCTCACTTCAATGTCGGTTAGATTCGACATTCCAACAGTTATATTTACGTATAAAAAGATGGTTCTGGTTTAATTTTATTCGAAATTCATCACCTAATTTTCAATTTTAGGACATTTCATATAAAGCTAATAAATTGTTTCCGTGAAAGCTCTGAAATCTGAAAAGGGATCCAAACAAAGTAGGTTTATTGTGTTTATATGTTTACCACTAATCACTTTTCCTGTGGCCTATATAATTCCAAATTAACTATTCAAAATTTTGTAATAGTTATTAGATTCTTGGATGGTTAATCGCAATGGCGTGGCGAACTTGAACATTTTCAGAAACAANAAATTAACTATTCAAAATTTTGTAATAGTTATTAGATTCTTGGATGGTTAATCGCAATGGCGTGGCGAACTTGAACATTTTCAGAAACAAGTTTGATTATTAACCCCCCCCCCCCCCCTGCAGCACCAATAACTCAATAAAGTCATTCTCTATAAATATTTACCTGCCGTAGATCTTAGTTATTATTAAAATAGGTACTATGGTTAATATTAAATTATTAAATACTGATCATTACACATCCACTACCGCTTCAAAAACTATTCTTTTTACTACGCCACGAGTTAGCGCAACACACTATAATAGTACAGTTTTAGAGTATTATAGAGCAGAGGGACATCAAGTCGATCGTGACTTCTATCGTCTTTTAAAATTTTTTTCATAATCTACCTTATCTTTTAKTTGTTGTAATTTATTAAGTATGAGTAATTTTATGTCCCCATATCGATAGTGACAAACAAAAAAATTCAGAGGTTGGTTACAAGCCTTAAAAAGTTAACAACTTCTGTTATCTAGAGTATATTTTCAATTACGGATGCGGTTWAATTTTGATTAAAATAAAAATATTTTTGATTGAATTAAATTAAGTATTTAAATGGATGATCAATACCGACAATTGCTTTGGATATTGCTTGAAATTTATATTTTTGTATTTTTCGTGTTTAATAAATTATTGTAAATTTTAAAGCAAATGTATGATTTGTTGAGCTATAAATTACCTACTTTCAAATATGGCTGTGTAGTAGTGGTTTTCAGGTATAAAATGTACTTAAGCTAACGTTCACTCTTTTATTTTAACGATACACACCTGTCATTTATATAGGCTCTGATTAAGCATGCCATGTGCAATGTGCATAGGCTTCAAAAATGACATAAGATGGGTAAATATGTTATGTATAGATATTGTTTAATTTTGAATAAATAATAACCACAGTTATAACTTAATACAGTTGTTTAAAATCTACAGATAATGCATTTTTTATCTAATACAATATCGTATAATACGCTTCAATATGTAGTGTACATAAACTATGGACATAGCGTAATTAGAATTTAATTTGCATGAAAAGTATTCTAAACACAATGTATAAATATATAATAATCATCGACGATACCATTTTATCTAAAATCGGAATCTGAATGTTACAATTACTCGGAAACGAATAGATCTTTCTCATGACCTGTCCTGTGTATGTATTGTTTTAGAACTTTCACTTAGGTTCTTATAGTGTCCTACTCAGCCATTCTCACGATTGTAATATATTATAAAAATACCGGAATAGAACATACTTATTTTTTGGCGAAGGTGTACAAACCTAACTACGTACATTTTTTTGTTTGTTAAAAAAAAGTTACCTTTATTTAAACTATCTTTAATTAACAAAGCCTATTTTTCTTTTCAAATAAAATTAATAAAAATCATACGTATTTGTATTACGTAATATTATATTTTAGTTATGAGTGGAGCAAATTATGTATTGGATTAGTATCATGTATAAGTATAATATATATTTTTTTAAAGTCTGGACAGTTGACTTTAAAAAAATTTAAAAAAAATTCAAACTTCATCTTAAGAGTGATTTTTGATTGCAAAGTATTAAAAATAATTGGGAAAATTGAAAAAAATGGGAAATGAGAAAAATAAGAATTTCTATGCTAAACTAGTTTTTGATAAAATCGATTTTCATGTTTTTCTGTGTGTACTTGATTTTAGCACCAAATATTAATCTTAGCATTTTATAACCATAATATTAATATTATAGATTACAATTTATTTTGTATTTTTGTGCAATTTATAGATATTTTAAAATTATTTTTATTTTTTTTTGTTATTCCAATCTATTACAAAATTCATGAGTACCTATTGCTTATCATTTTTGGTTTTTAGTAAGATAATTTTTAAGGCCGAATTCTTTTAATTAGTTGTTCTTGCATCGGTGAAAATTTATCGAAGATATGTAAGTTAATTTTTTACTTCTCGATGATTTAAATAAAATAAGATGATAAGATAATTAAAAGGATAACATTTTTTAGGCAAGTTAAAAAAATAACTAGGTAAACAGATTTTTATTTATTATTATATGAGCGTATTTACTAAGAATGTATCATATCTATCTCTTATGTAGGTACTGTTTTCTTTAGATTATAATAACAATTAGATAACAGCTAGTCTTATTAAATAATACGAATTGAATAATAACGATTAAATAGWACAACGAACAATATGTTTTAAAAACATCCGGTAATATATTGACATATTGTTATGGATAATACAATATGTATGTTATTTTCAATTTTACTACAGTTTAAGCTAACCTTTCTAAAACTACTGTTAAACCTGCTTTAAGTTAATCTGCCCAATGGTCAACTGAATAATCGAGTGAATAATAGAGATCAAATTCAATTTCAGTATTTTTTTTTTTTGTTTTATTCTCCCACATACAAATTATTAGTACGCCATCTGAAAAAGTAAATACTAAATAGTAATTCGTACAGATCCTTAAAAAGATACATTTGCAGTTAAAATAGCAATTTAAAAGTTTTTTACATTGATAAGTGATAACTTTATAGATGAGGAAATTTTAAGTTATGAAATAATGCTTTGATTTTCAACTTCAGTAGTTTTTCAAGTCAGAAAGTGAATCTAGTTAGTAGATTGGGAAAGTCAAAATTTAAAGTTTTTCCCAGAGTTTTTAAAAGCGCCGGGAAAAACAAAAAAATTAAGGAAAAACGGGAATTTTCACTCAAAATAGGATTTTGAGTAAATCGATTTTAGATATTGGTGTAACTCTAAAACAAATTACCGCAGATATACCTACAATTTTTTATATACAATATAAAAAAGTTAAAATAAACGATACGTAGGTAAATGTTATTTTTAGACATTTTTAATTTTCAATTTTTTTTGTTTTTTATTATGTAAATTTCAATAAAATTGTATTCGTTGGGTCAAAAAGCTTGAAAATTTAAGGTTCCTCATAAATTTATTTAATAGTAGTTGGAAAATATTATAATAATACACAGGCTCGTTATTATGTAACCGTTTAAGTTCAAATTTTGACAATATGTATTTAATTGAAAATCCGTGAATTATTTATAGTTCTTATTTTGTTAAACTTTTATAGTTAAGGATTGAAAATATAAAACAAGGTTTCATGTAAGTAGTTAATACGAGACTCATTACTCTATAACAAAAAAATAAAAATAGTAACATTTTTTTTACAGTTATTTTAAGTTCAAATTTGGATGAAATTACAAATTAAATAATTTTTATTCTCGCAAGAATAAAATTTTTAGTGATATTGTTGCAATTTAAAAAGATGATTCGTGAGTAGTTTTTTCTTGTCTATACTTTAAGGGATACTTTATATTCTAACTATAGCTGAACCCGTGCACTTCGTAGCGCGTTAAAAATTCAACCTTTTATACAGACTTTTATATGTCTCAAACTGCTGTGTGTTAAATTCGTTTCCTGATATTATGCTAGCAGTTTATTTATTTGTATACATAAAATAAGTAGTAATTTTACCATGATATTCAATTTAATTTATCATTATGCAAATTTATTCGTTTTATCGAGAAAATTTTTGACATTCAAATATTTAATTGGATAGTATTAGGGCCTATAATTTTAACTTAGCCTATATTCTGCCAATTAGGTCTAATAAATCTTTGTAGATACCGATTAATTTTGTCGCAATCGGTTCAGAAATTTGAATTCTGGCAATTTTTACTTTTCCTCCAACACAAACCTAGCTGTTGCCTTTTAAAATTTGAATGCTCTACAATTTATGCGAAATCACCTCGGTAATAARCTAATAACCATCCTTGGATGAATACTGTAATTATTATTATACCAAATTTCGTTGCAATCGGTCCAGCCGTTTAGGAATGCATAAAGGACAAATTTGTCAATATTATAGCTGTCCTATATATAACTATAAAATATAGTTGRAATCTTGGAATAATTATAATAATAGTAACATCAACTACATATTTTTTTCCTTGAACAATCGGATAGAAACCCATTTATTTATATATAGGTATATATATATATCTATATATATATAGATATATAGATAGATACACAGATAGAAGATAATTGTTATGGTTAATGTCATTAATGACTTATATTAATACTATACAGTATATTGTATAATATAAACTATGAATGACTGAGTCGTGTATAATCTAATGAATCTGATTTGGAACTTATTTTATAGGTACTTACATTATTTTTTATTTTTTCATTTAACAAATACACCTCAACTACCGGGGTTATTGGCGTTTCAAAATAAATATTATAGTATTATTATTCAACTTAAAACTTAACTAATTCTTTGAACTTGTGAATAATAAACCACGCGAGCACCTATGCAATTTCATCTCATTGCTCTATCAATTTAAAATAATTATCTTTAAAGTTCAAATACTGATGATATACGTGTATGGTTGTGAATTTATTATGTTTATATATTATTACTCGTATTATGATATATACCTCATCCTACATCACGTGTATACCCTTTGTAGTTATGAGTTCTTATTTATATGTGTCTATATTCTATTTCATTTTTAATTAAATAGAAAATTACATTAGTACTATAATAAATTGTTATACGCCCTTGATATAAATAAACTTATTACTTTTTTGTTTTDTCATAATTGTATGTCAATGTGTCGAAAATTGGTATAGCAATTATGTGATTATAGGTAGTCAGGTAAATATGTATTACATCATAGTAATTTTGTTAATTTGATACCTCAATTTATACCTAATTAATTTAAAATTTATAAATACGTGTATTGTTTAAAATTTTATTAACTTTTATGATTTTTGTGACGTTTATGCGTTAATGTAAACTATATACCTACTTAAATTGCATATTCTTATGATTATAAATTACTAATATGTAAAATTCAATRTTGGTATAAATTAAAAATTATTCTTATGGTATCTATCAAATTTTAGATCCCACCTAGTAAACTGTTTATTATGCAACGATTGTTAGCATGTTATGTTATATACGTATAACATGTTATATACGTATAACCTAACCTATTTAATTATGTGTTTTTAGGTAGTGATTCTAGTATAGATAGTATATTTGCATACTATCACGGTGTTTTGTATTTATATGATGTTAATTATGCATACCATAAAATAAATTAAACAATTTATAAAATAAGTTGTTAGATATTTCCATATCACATTAAATCTTGAATTGTATCTAACATTTAATATTTATATAAATTTACATCGTTTTACCAAAATTGTATTAAACGTTTTTTTTTTTCAGTTTAAATACAAATTGGTATATTTTGAAAGTTATGATCGTTAATTTCGTGTCATTATTTAAAGTTCTAACATGTTTGTAATTATAAAATAATTACAAACTCTAACTTCAAAAAATATTAATGTACAAATTTCATAAGTTCCTAATTCCCATATCGTCGAACACTAAAGTTACATAAATATTATACCATACAATAATGCGTTAAAAGTGTTAACAATATAATATGATTAGTGATTATACACCATGCCTACGATTCAATAATACAATTTATTTACAGGTCGTTAGTTTGTGGATATGGCTGAAAACATTGCGTTCAGTGACTGGTCGGAAAAGCTTGACACTGCTGGAACTAATCATTGGCTTCCTGCTTACGGGTTCCAGCAACCGCCAGTGGCGATGGTTGGCAATAGCCTCCAACAAAACGATCMCACATTCGACGCTAACCCYCGTGATCACACTGAATTTTTTGACGACAACAATGGTAATTTTAATGCCCTACTACTGTATACATTTTGTATAATAAATATAAACACGTATTACATTATATATTTATACACACATGCGTATGTATAGTATGTATAAATAATGGTTTACTAAAATACAGGTACACACAAACACACGCGCGCGCGCGTATATATATATATTACTTTATTGCTTTAATAGTAACTTAGACGTATCGTCGTATATGATGTATGAAACCTCATTCACACAGTTTTCAACCAAGTCGACCACATTTGCTATGTATTGTGTTCCATCGGCCATGCTGTCTATACAGATTAGTGTAACTAAAAATAAAATAACTATACCTATCGTTCAATTATTAATTTGATGGAATTTTAACAAGGAAGTAGGATGGAATTTTTAGTCTCTTATAGTTTTTCAAGAAAAAAAAATACCAAATCAAGAAAATATTGAAAAATAAACGGCTTTGTTTGACTAATTAAAAATGTTATGATATAGGTATTCATATCGTATTTTGCATTTCGTATTTATAATATATTCTATTAAGATTGTAATAACTAATAATTGAATAATTTAAGATATYAAGAATCAGGGTGATTATGTTTATTTCATTTTACTGTTATTTATAATATTTGCTATATTTTAAGGCTAAAATTATTTAATAAGAATAAGTATCTCAAAAAAAAAAACTATTGTATAACCAGTATAATGATAATGTATAGGCGTCCGTCACATCACATATCCAATCAMAACAAGTACGTTGAACCGTGTGTAGAAACGACTACGATTGTTAACAAGACCAAATTCGTTGTTTTAGTTATTGCCTATTCCCTGTTGGTTACGTCAACCCACTGGTATATAATTTTTCTATTCCCATCAGTTGGAATTACATGTTTTTTAATTTTTATGTTGTTAATATTTTTATATTTGTTTGTTGTTATTCGCCCGTATCACAACGATGCGTATGATACCTGAAGTACCTAACATATTTTTGTGTTTTTCTATTAACATGTAAAAATTCTTACATGCCCAATACATGAAGCCAATAAACATCATGCATATTTTAGTACATCATCAATTCTGACTATGAGTATTCAAAAAAATAATACAATTTTTTAATGTTCATACCTTGTTTAAAAATCATAATTCATAATATTTCAAAAAGCCTACGCAATATCACGAATAGTATTATTATTTATATACCTTGGCAGTCTTCTGTCAAGTACCTTGGTGTCACGCTGGACAAGAGGTTAACCTGGGGGCCTCACATAGCTTCTAAATTACAACAAGCATACCAGCGCCTCTCAATGTTATTTCCTATCCTAAACAAAAAATCAGTTATACAAAAAAAATGCTCAATATTAATTTACAAGCAATTATTAYGCTCACTAATTACCTATGCTTGTCCTATCTGGGGAAACTGCTCAGTGACACACTTAAGAACAATACAAATTTTCCAAAACAAAGTATTAAGAATAATAACAAACGCACCATGGTTCATACGCAACGAAAATCTACATAAAGATATCTACATCTTCCGTAGTTCACTCCAAAAATCAACTGGCTCAATATACTTCAACTTACACATACGTCCACCACCTCAAAGACGACTAAAACGCGGTCGCCCGCACGATCTTATTCGATAACGCTATTAAATAACTAGTCACTACTGTAATTATCGCTCTTAATATTGTAATTGTAAATACTTATATCATGTTAAAATTAGTCAAAAAAAAAATTATGTTATTTATCCATAGATGTAGATAGCCTTATAGGCTAGGAATGTCTTATTATAAAATAAAATAAAAATAAAAATAATTATTTATTACCTTTACATTTGTTTATGTACTCAAATCATTCTAATAAACTGAGTAAGATTCTTCTGAACGTTTCACAATTTGTCTATACTATGCGTTAGACACACGTCATGCGGGTACAAGTGGTGTAAACTTCCTCTGTATTTTGATTAAAATATCACACTGCTAAAAGACACGTTTCGTTTATTAAAAATTAAATGCAATTTTTCTAGAAATCTTAATTATATAAGTTACAGCATATATATTCTTTGTATTTAGTTMTTTTTAAATAAATATACGTTTTTCACGAAGTTACAACTAGAGTGGTACATTTATATTTAATTTAAAGTGTGTTAATCAGCTATAAATACTACATAATAGAGTGTTAATATCTTACACTATAATTAAAAATATCATTATCGCAATAAGTTCGAGGAATTAATATGTAAATATTATCATTTATAATTGAAATATTTTGCTGTAAAAATTTATTTTTATTGATTAATGMTTTCTACATGAAGTTTAATTCTTCTGAGATGCTAGGGTATTTGCATATTATAAACTAAATCAACATAAATTATAGTAAATTGAATGTTTATTTTCCAAGTAAACGTTAATATTCATTAATTATTATGAACACTTAAAATTATATTTTTAATTTTAATCTTTTTCATGAAACTACGATTTTATTAATCTTATAACATTTTCTTATTCAAATTTGTTATTAAAATATATTTTCATACTATGACCGAATATTTTCACCATATTTTTTTTATCAATAATGCAGTTATTCGAAATCTGTTTAAAAAATTTTTAAATACAAGTTAAAGACCATAATTTTCAATTCTTGARATTTTTCTCACTACTTAGGAGTGTTTTAGGAGTATTAGGAGTGTCGTGTAGAGATACAAACTTCTATTTTCCAAATGAGAACTGTAAACCCCGTGAACCCTTTTCAACTGTAAATTATACAGCTGATAAGTTTTTTTTTTAATGTTGACGTGTCAGAATCAAAATTTGTGCGAATGTATAAAAAAATATTTAAGAAGRGCGTTTTATTTCTAACTGTAGAAATTCCGTTTGAAATATATTCTACGTAGTTATAGTTGGGATCATTATATATTTTAATATAAATAATGTAATTGTTGTACGAGTACATGATATTAAAATTATAGGTACCAGGTATCTAATTTAATATTATCATTTGTTGCAATCTAATAGCCTTAGCAGTTGAAGCTGTACCATGAATAAAAAAAAAACATATTATCATAAAACTAATATATAATATTAATATCATAAATCATATAAAAGTATGTATGTACCGGGGTATATGTACCTATTTCAATAGTTAAATAGTAGGTATATTATTAATACACATACCATTGACCAATACAATTTTGAATAATATAATTTTGATTTGTACTTTGAATAATGTCAATAATTTGCRAATTTCACTAAATGGTATGTAACATGGGATTTGATATATTGTGTATTATATCCGTAAAAAAATTGCTCAAACCTCAGAAAAAAGAGGCCATCAACGGGGCAGAATATTACTACCGTTATTTGGCTTCACGGAAACTACTTGCGTTTTAAATCCATTTCGTTTCTCGTCGCCACCGTTCATTCGTGCTAGTTTTTTTTTTACAGCATTCTATTATACGATAACAGAAAAATATTATGCTACAAACTGCCAAAAACAAATCATCCGTGTTATAATTGATAATTATTTATAGACATTTCAGCGAAAAAAAATAAATACTCAATTAGTAAATTATAATATATTTATTTTATTACTTTAAAATATATAAATATTACCAATATATCTTCAAAGAAAACTAATCCAGTGTATGTATAATAATTGTATATTATCCGCATCATATTGTTTTGTTTTT